TCTCATCAGATATCCATCGAAGCCCGTTGCATATTCAGCAACACGGTATGCGGATCGAATTAAGATTATACATCCAGAAAAGTAGAGTACCTTTAGCAACTGCTTCCATTCAACACTACCATTAATGTCACTACTGTGAACATTGGTGGTGGCATGTTCAACAACCGATTTACCAATACGTATTTGAAAAGTGATTGCTACAGTAAGGAACAATGTAAAAGAGATAACTTGTACCGCGAGACCAAAGATAATAATTGCTTGTCCAGTTGATTGTAGCCCACGCGATGCTTGTATTCCACCTCCTCCTCCTTGGAGAAGTAATGAGACAACATCTGCCACGACGAATATCGTACTCATTCTGGTTACTTTAATAAGTGAAAATTTTTCACCGCGTGTAAAACGTATTAAACGACTGAGAATCATATAGATTGATGCAGAGAAAAATGCTGGTGGAATTAAGAGCATGAGAGCCTGTACAACGTATGTGCCAAGATTGTAAAGATTACTTCGACCAATTCCTCGTGCTATATATCCTCCGACTTCTAATAGACCACCAATGACAAATGGAATAAAGTACTTTGTTTTGTGACGCAAGAGCTGATAAATATGTACGATTGTAGTGAGTCCGAATAGAATGCATGCTACAATAAGTAGAGGAAGGCTGGGAGTGTAGTGATAGAGATTGTACTGGAATGTGGCTGTACTGTTGTCTGGCATGCTAAATCTTCAATTCAGCCTGCATTTTCTATAAAGAATATCAATAAAGAGTCCATTTTAAAATAGAAGAGATTGTGACAGATTGGCCTGACATTGTTTTTTCATAACTTTTGATAGATACGAGCGCTTTGAAAAGAAAAATATTGAGGTTACATGAATATAAAAAGACGGAAGTAAAAGTAATTTCTGCAGACGGTGTCAAGAAAGGGAGAACCATATTAGAAGCCCCTTTCATAGTAAAAGATCCTCTCGTATTCGGAGACCTCGTCCACCTATCCGAAAACTTGTCTGAGACTATTTCATTCGTTTTGTTCTGATGAGAGTTCAGAGCTGATCGGGTTCCAATTCTCTGTAATTCGCGATAATAATTTGAAAAGTTGGAAACGAACTCTCGGAAAACAGGAGCATGAACGGATCGAGACTTGGATGAATAGGAGTCTATAGGTTTTTTTTGACGTATTACAGAGCCAGTGGAAGAATTTAAAACATTTTCCAGCAGTTTCATTGTGTTTTTCCGGCGCTGATTTGTCAATTAAGCCTTTATTGCTTTTCCAGGCAACCAAATAACAAGAAATGAGTTATTATACGCTTTTTACTTTGACATGCTCAAAAGCCAGTGTCCAAATCTTTAAGTTTTCAAAAAAGTTCAAAAAACGGCCGCTGTACATTGCTAGAAGTTAGGTGCAACTCACAACAGGTACGGGAAGAGTTTTTCTACATAAATAGTTTTTTTAAGACTGATCCTGTCGGAACTCAAATGGTAGAGCTACTCTAATCTACTCTAATGATGTGAACGATTTGTACGATGTGCACCAAAGAGAGCGATCAATCGTCCCTCAACATAAGACGATGAATTTGCTTTGTAAACAAACTACCTACAAACGAAAAAAAATTCAAAAGTGTCATGTCTACGAACATCATCGAATCAAAATTTCTCTAATTTTACCGATTTCATAGCTCTGTTTTAAAAGGTTGCG